TATATATATATATAATATTAGTAAAACTATATATAATATATAATTTATGTTAATATATATTAATATATTTTATAATTAATTAGAATGAAATATATATTTTTTTAATGTTATAATGAATTAAAATATATTTAATAATGAATATATAATGAATTATATTTATTTAATAATATAATATTATATATTATATATAAAATTAAATATATTATATAAGTAATTTAAAATTTTTAATAATTAGATATATTTTATAGTTAATTTAAAAATCTAAATGATATATTATTATTATATATTAAATTATGTATATTAAATTATATTAATAAAAATAATATATTATATATATAATATAATATATTAATATAGATTACTAAATAATATATCATTATATATATTAATATATAATTTATATAGATTAATAAAATTAATATATATTAATAAATTTAATATATTATAAATATAATATATTAGTAAAATTATAATTATTAGTGTAATATAAGTTGAAAAAATTGTATATGGTTTGTATAACTATATAAAAAAAAAATTGTAATTATTTAATGTTGTGTTTAATTAAGAATAATTACTAAATTGAATTTAATAATTTTTAGGCTGATGGAACTTACCGAAGACCCACCAATCAACAAGAGTGGGAACAATTTATTATTGAGGGTTCTGGACCGCGACACACGAAGAGTCGCGTTGTAGATGCATATGCTCGTCAGGAGAGGCAGGAGAGAGAGATTGAGGCTCGCATTATACAGATGGGTCATGTTAGCCAGGCTGGCAATTCGATACCACTCGTTCCTCCGATATAGAGTGGTCAGCAGCCCCGCGGCTCATTCATGCCTGACAGTGCGATACCCCTCCCTCCGGTACGTGTTGGTCAGCAGTAGGATTATTCCCATGAGTCTCATAGACAGCAGTGTTGTATTCATCCAACGTGCTCGCTTCGACGACGTTCTTCCACCTGCCATGCGTGAAGTTCTGAGCGAAATCCCTATTTTTCTTTGCTAGTCGATAGACCTTGTCTTCCACATCCTTGTTGATGTGTCACGTGCAAAGTAAGTGGGGCAAGTGGGAAATTTCTCCGAATAGGAGTAATCAAGCCCAACTCCCTGTCAGTGACAATGGCCGAAGGATGTAAATCAGGCCCTATCAGATGTCTCAACCGTTGCAAAACCTAGTCATAGCTATACTCAATCTCGTCCTTGATAATTGCATAGGCAATTAAAAAGTTCTTGTTGAACGGCGTCATTTCAATCATTTCCACCAACGGCATCTTGTACCTGTGCAAATGAAAGCAACATAGATTAAAAAAAACTTATTCAAACATACTAATTAAGATTCATGCTAAATTGTTATTTATAAAGTAACATAGCATACCTGTTGGTTTTGTATGTCGAATCTATACTGACATAATAGTAATATGTACGGAATAGATTGGCTGCTTGAGGATGCGACATGAACACATGTGTCAACGCCTGTGTGACGTCATCAGTCTCAGCGTATATTTGTATTTCTAGCCAAATGATAAGCTGGCCAACCACATCTCTACCCTGCAAACTATCTCTGCGCATTTTACTCTTATAGTTATATGCTTGTCGCACAGTAGCGTTGTCTATAGAGTTTTTATCTTGAATCGTAGCCAAAATTGCTGTGGGTTTTGCCTGATCACCACTCGTATCACGGACAATCTCTTTAGATGAATTACTAAGTCCGCTCATCTGTCGATGACCCTCGGGATACACAATCATCGCATGATTATGCGTTCCCTTTTTATCATCATCATAAGAAACCCAAATATATCAATTTTTAGATTGTGCGTCCAATTTGACTTTTATCATAAAAGGGCAATCGGTCGCTTTAGTTTTTGAACGTTTCAAAACATCATTAACAAATTTCGTAACATTACCTATGTAACGTTCCCCTCGATTACACCTCAACCACCGATGCTTTCCTTCTTTATCGTGTTTCGAGATTAACAATGCGAAACCATTTTCAAGTGCCAATTTTTTTGCCCGCTTAATAGCTTCTTCACAACTATCAAATAGCTCATCTGAACGAAAACATGTCTGTAATCTCGACCGTCTCCTCCAAAATCTTCGACCGTCTCCTCCAAAATCTTCGACCGGCGCCTGCAATATATTACGATGTATGTTAATAATTTTACAAGATAATCAATTATAACTTCTAACATAATAATAATAAATTGTACTTTAAATTTATTATATAGTCAATTATAATAAATAATATACTAGTAATCTATAACAGAATAATTTTAATATAAAATCAATTCTAATCTATAACACAATAATTTCTAACTTCTAACATAATATCAATAAATTCTATTTAGTAATATAATTTATATAAAACAACAATATATACTAATATATTTTTTTCATTAAAATTATTTAAATTTTATACTATTATAAATATACTAATATAATATTGTATATTATAATTATTTAAACTTTATACTATTATATAATTATTTAAATTTTAAACTAATTTTATATTTTTATTATTATAATTTTTATATAATTAATAAATTGTATTTTATAATATACTTTAAATTTTATATAATTATTTAAATTTTTACTATTATAATTTATTTTAATTTAAATAAAAAAAGGGCTGGCAAGCCCCTTTTTGAGGCCAACACAGNTTTCGCCGGATTTTGTCGGAAATCGCCGGAATTCAAACGAGAGAGAGAGAGAGAGAGAGGAATTACAAAGAGAGGGAGAAATTGAAAATGGATAGAGAGAAAGATTTTGAAAAATGATTTGATTTTTTTTAATAGGAAAAGGGTATAAATGTATTTTGGGGGGCGGTGAGTAGTAATAAGGGGGGCGGTATAAATCGTCCAATAAGGGGGATATAAATCGTTCAATATTTTGATTTTGTTGAAGAAGATGAATTTGACATGGACAAGATGGAAATTGATTGAAAATGACGACCTATCAGAAAAAAAAAATGAATAACATAATCGATCAGTTTGGTAATTATAAGAAAAAAAATAATAAAGTTAAACAACAAGCATCAAAAGTTTGTGCGAGGGATATTATAATAATTTCAATATATGTTGCATTTACAGTTGATACATTTTCAGTTTATGTTGCGTTTTTATTTTAATAACATTTATCCAATAAAAAAAAAGGAGTTAATGACAAAACTGATCACGTTGACAATTATAAGGAAAAGAGGTTAAGAAAGGGGTCAAGACTTAAAGACGAGTGTCAAAATTTCATGCAGACAGACATTAGAATAATTTTAGTTTATGTTGTTTTTATAGTCAGTATATTTTTAGTATATGTTGCGTTTTTATTTACAATTTTTTTTTTCTATCCCATCGCAGTTAATTTTTATCCAAACATCACCACCATCCTTTCCTACTCTTGCCTGCAAGACTCGTTGGCTACAAGAAAATCTCAACTCCTACTTCAAATTTGTATTCAAATATTCTGAAAGTTTTATGCGCATTCCGAAAGTCAAAGCTCACGAAAATGAAGACACTGACTCTAGAAGTGATCTGGCCCACCAAGTATGTCGTGTTTTACGCCGCCCCCCTCACGACAAGTTTCTCTCTCGATCTCTCATTGTCGATCCCTCGGAGGACCTAACTATTGATCTCTCTGAATAGTGTAAGCCACTAAAACTGTAAGCCGTCAAAGTTGGTAAAGTCACCGCCCAATCAGTCTTGTCTCCTCGCCCAATCGATATTGTCCTGCAGAGTCGGGAATACATATCCCATATTCAAAAGCCGAATTTCTGCATGGCATCATGCGTCAATCATCTGGCTGCTATGGTGGAAAATTGCTATAATTGTATATTACAATTACCGCATATACATGAACAATAAGCTCAAACATTACACACAACAGTTGTCATTGTAACAAAAAACCCTCAACAATCACTTTTCGAAGAATTCACTCTCTTTGCCGATGGCACAACATATCGACAAACTTGTGTGTGTTCATTATTTTCGGTTTTTCTTATGTCCTTGTAGATTAGCCCACACCAAGCCCTCATATAAATTAGATACAAAACACTCTTAGTTCCATAACTAAGAATCTTTGGCAATCACTCGTCAACGAATTACTTTTTTAACTCAAAATCTAACTCAAATATAACTCATCCTCACTCTCTCAATATTATCAAAAAATTAAACATTATCAATCAATCATCCTCACACATTACATCAACTCTAATTCATTATCCCTTCACTTACATAATTTCATCTACTCATTTCAGTCACTTCCTCCTACTTTTAAATAAAATAAACTTTAATCATCTTATTTTAAATATTATTTTAATACAATATTAAGAATTCCACTTAAATTTAACCCAACCAATTTTGATAAAAATTAATAGTTAATCATAAATTCTAATCAAACCTCAATTAAATTTATATCAAGCACCGTCGTACAAAAACTCCTTTTAATAAATAAGCTTTTCGATAGACTTTTCAAAATAAAATTATATTGGTTGCTTTTTCAAAATGACATTAATTTTATGTGTGATTTATTCAAAACAACACAAACTATGTATCATCACGGAAAATATACTTTGAATTTTCCGTATTTATTTTAAGTACTTTTGTTAATTATTATCATACAAATTAAATATTGTAAGTGAAAATTCGTAACCATCCTTTGGAGACTTATCAACATTTGAACGACGGCTATTAGGTGATAGTAGATAGCGTACGACTCATTGTATTAGACTGATCGTAGTAGTCGAGTAATTATTGATTTAAATAATTAATTTAAAAATATTATGTTATTGTGTTATTTTACGAATTATCTCTAAAAAACTTCATACTGAGCTAATCAAATAAGTCTTTTTTCAAACAAATTAATTGAAGTATAATGAACCAATAATTTTACGTTAGTTCGCGTACATATAATCGAATCCATATGTTTTTGGGACTAAAGGTGTAAATATTTGAAAAACATATTTAGAAGCTAATTTCCCCCTAAATATTTGTTTGGTGTGTCTGTGTGGATGAACAAATAATAGATGGATATATGTATGCATACATAAATACGTCGAAGAGCGGTTCAGTTTGGTCCACCTTCACTTGCGCAGATAAAAAATAATAAAACATTAATATTACTACTAAGTCCAAAGTCAATTCTTCTCCTCCTCCCCCTCTCTCTAAGAGATGCAGACCTCTCCGTCGACGGCCCTCCTCCGCTCTCCGCCGCCCCTCTCTCTTATCTATCACTCTATCACAGTTAAAGTTTTGAGGTACATATCTTTATCTGCTTATATCGTCTTTGTCCTTCACTTCCAGGAGCTCTCCACAAACCAAGCCAAAAACTGTTTATTTCAGTTAATTTTAATCTGTCTTGTTTTCTAACCTTACAGTTTTGGGGGTTTTAGTATTTTTTTTTCCTCGATTTTTCCAATTTCAGCTTTTTTCTAGTTGTGCGTTGTTTCTTCTCCAAAGAGACTGACTTTGTTTTTGAGCTACATACAGAGAAATTATTTGTTATTTCCTGTTTCAATTATTTTATAACCTCTACTGATGTTTTAAATAGAAAGAGAATCTTCTATTCTCTTATATTTCTGAAAAAAAAAAACAGAAAGAAAGAGGAAGAGAAACTTAAGAAAATCTGTTAAATTATTCGAATAGGGAAGGAGAAAATCATATGTTGGAATTTTTGGATTTAATATTTAACGAGCAAAAGGTATGACTTTCCTCTCTTTATGGTCTTTTTTTTTGTCTAAAAAAACTATGGTATAGTGTTTTTGGTCTACTTCCTGTATTTTCTAGGTTTCTACTTTCTACCCAGTTTGTGTGGCAATGCTTAGGATGAATGACATATTTTCTCAATTTGGAAAATGGCGGGCTGATATCTCACCTTTTGCACATTACTTGGACACTCGACGGCCATAATAGATTAAGAAATTGCTTTTAGTTCATTCATCGTTCAATTTAGTGTGTATTTCTATTACATGGTCATACCCTGTTGCACCATATTTTAGGAGAATGGGTTTCGATAACTAAAGCTGGTTACTATTATATTTTCAGTTATGTTGATTGATAATGCTTTATGTGCTATGTTTGTTATCTACTATGTTCTTTTTACATATAGACTATTGTGATGCTCTCAGATGAACTGACAATGCCCTCTCGCTTGGTAAAGTAATATGATACTGGATTTAATATGAAGTTCAGTCCAATCCATCTACCAAAATCACCGAAAGGTTTATTGGGTGAACAACAGAGGAGAATGAGCAGTAACCTTATTCAAGAAATGTCGCATGCTAATCAAGAGAATGTAACTAATGAGTCACAGCAGGAGAAAAGTCAACTTGATGTCGGGTCAGATGAGAAACCCTGTCTGGTGCCCCATGAAACAGAAACCAAGCCAGAACCTGATGCTGAAATTGATGCCTCTAGACCCCACGAAGAAGGAGGTAGAATTCTGTCTTCTGAGAAGCTAAACAGTGATTCAGATACACAGATGCAAGAAACAAGTCCTGAAAAATATGGGGTGAGTTATTCGTCTGGACCTGAAAATGCTGTGGAGATAAGGCAGCCTAGGCAGAACGCCGAATCTGGAGATAAATCATGCAAGGAAGAATCTATACCGTATCCGGGTGCTGCAAATCATGCATTAGTGATCACAAAAGATAAATGCACTCCTATGAAAACTGAGAACTTCTCGGCGAATTTGGCTAACACATCAAGTTCGAGCATTGGGGTGCCTGAAGCTCTATCTGATCGAGAAGCCTTTTCATTTTCTGCAAAATTTGAGAGAGTTGAGAAATTGCAGCCCAGACGAAACCCGGAACCTGCGGTTCCGATCTCACAATATGATGCAGAAATTCAAAGCACTCCCTCTAGAGTACTGGAAAAAGGATTGGATGATGGTTATAACTGGAGAAAATATGGGCAGAAGCTTGTGAAAGGAAATAGTTTCTTCCGAAGCTATTATAAATGCACTTACCCGAATTGCCAGGCCAAAAAACAAGTTGAAAGATCACATGATGGGAGTAAAATGGACGTTAATTTTCTCGGGAGCCATCACCATCCCAAACCACAAAATAGCCCCCAAGTGACCTCCAGTGTTCAAGTACGGAAAACGGATGTGCCCGTCGATTCTGCACTAAAGAGTAAGTGTCACGTGACTTCATAAACTTTTGTTATTTTCTTTTTATGCTTAATGACTCTTTAAGGTGACCTTTAGGTGATGCTGAGCCAATCATTGACCATAGTGGTGCACGACAACTTGTGACACTGACTGAAACATTATCTCAGTCACCTATTGCAAGTTCTGATGGTGTGATGGGACCAGCTTCCTGCCCCAGAAATGATATCAATGATAAAGATGCTAAACGACTGTATTGCTTCTTGAAGTATCTTGTATCTTCTATTCTGCGTTATATGCAGATTTAAATATTTTATTAATTGGTTATATCCTTTTCAACAGGAAAAGAGAGTTTACTGCTGCTGGTGACAATGTGGTGAATACGCCGCCAACTGGGGATTTACGTCATGTTGTTCAAACTCTGAGTGAGGTTGACTTAGTTAATGATGGGCACCGCTGGCGTAAGTATGGGCAGAAATTGGTTAAAGGCAATCCTAATCCACGGTAACTAAAGTTTTATATATCTGCCGCTCCAATATTTCAATTCTTTTGCTGATAATTTAAGGCAAACCTAACTGTTTAGCAGCTTTACTAATATAATCTCGTGAGGGTTCATGCGGATTTTAACATAAAAAGCTCTTACGCAAAGCTTGGTATTAGTTGCCATATATTTTAAGACATTGTGTTGGAGGCTTTCAGAATTTTCTGAATGTTTACTACTAAGCTTGGTCTCAATTACTTGTCATTGACCTTTGAAGAAGGATGTCCAAGCTTTGCTTTATCAATAATTTTCTGCCGTCCCTTGCTCTTTAGAAATGTTTTTTCTTGAATGGAAAATATGACAGCAAATGAAGCCCTTGGGCTTAGGTTAAACGAAAACAATATGCTGGACCAAGATTTTCAGGTTTAACGGTTGGTATGCACTTTTGCTTAGTTGCTTGTATGCTATTTTTGTTCAGAAAATAAATGTCCTTGTTTTGGCGATACTGACCTCAGCTCTCTATGTTGTGCAGGAGTTATTACAGGTGTTCGTATTCTGGTTGCCCAGTTAAGAAACACGTCGAACGAGCTTCCTATGATCCCAAAATAGTTATCACAACTTACGAAGGAGAACACCAGCACGGTATGTCTACTACCGTAAGCCAACCTACAACTGCAGTTGGTACCCAAAATCCCATGACCACAACAAATGGTGTGTCGAGAACAAAAGCTGAGGAGAACAAGGACCCAGTTGGCCTTGAAATGGTTGTTCACGTTAATTCAAACTAAGCAAGCGGATTCCTTTTGAGTTACATGCTTCCGTGTCTCGTAAGCTAAATTGTTATCGGCAAATTATTGTGATTTCTGAGAGGGATTCTGTTAATGGGAACACTACTTTTTCTACTTGATGATTGAATTTGGGGTCAGTGTAACTAGGTTGTATAAAATTACTGTAGCCAGAGATGGAAAGAAAGGATGTATACTGCATAGATGTGTATTTACTTTGCTATTTGTGGCGCTGGCTTTATTATATTTATATCCTGTCAGTCTTATTTTATTTTCTAATGCATGATGGGTTCAAAGGTTGATATATAATTGGGTTAACTACGGACATTATCTCTAATTTTTAGCCTGATGATTATAAGGAATAATTGCCTTTCCGCCCACAAACTATTGTGGATTAGCAGGCAAAGTGGAAAAAAAAAAAAAACCATTCATCTTTCAAAATTACTATCACCACTTTGATTCTGGTGTATCTTCTATGCAACATCAGTAACAGCTGAAAGCCTTCTATCTTACAGTAGACATACTACCAAATCCCTAATCCCTATTCAATACAATGTGTAATCTAATTCAAACCAATAAGAGAAGACTCACAAATTCTCTTGGACAATATGGCTTCCATCAAATTAGTATGAGCATTTTTGTGGTACATATTTTTGCTTTCCCTTTTATCTAGGGATTTAATCTGGATACTGATGTAAGTTTCTGTTGCCATGAAACCATATCATAGTATACTTATCATACATGAGATATATCCTGGATACTGATTGTAAGTTTGTCTTATTCTCACACACAATATAACTAAAAGCTTAGAATACAAAACATTCACATTGCCTCTTGCTTTTGCATCAGTTTTCTGGTGTCTGCATGTAACGCTATGTTTATCTTTATTAGTAACGTTAAAGGGGAAGTTTGAAATTAGTGTTCGGCATTAGACCCTTTTTAGTTCTCTGCTCGATAGCTACACAAGTTGTGACACAGTTCGAGCAACATCAACAGAAAATGGGCTCTCGGGCAGATCAAGTTCTTCACAGCTGCAAAATGTCATGAATACAATTGAGCAGATGAATAAAAGAGAGAAAAAGTTGAGCGAAAATAGCGTCTGACATCTAGATACCTGTCCAGCTTGTCGTTGCGACTTATAATGTGATAAAATTTGTCTTCAGTAGTGGACCCATCGCTCGAAACACCTTCTGGAATATAAATAAATCAAAAGATCAATCTCCACTTATTGCAGTGCATTTAGCACAATATATTTTGCCAAAAATGTAGATTCAACGAAATAGAGATCGTCTCTTAAACAGAAAGTTAGAAACCTTCTGAAAGGCTTGAACAATTAGACTTCTGGCCGCCCAACATATGCATATGCTTCTTCTCAAGCTTGGCTGAATGTTGATACTTTTCAGTCATTATCTGTTTCTTGGGAGACTTTGTATTCTTGCACTCTTTTGGTTCTACATAGTGAACAATATAAATATTAAATCAAGTTACTGGAATAGGAAGTATATGTGATAAAAGAAACTGAAAACACGAAAATGGTTTGAGTCTTGCTTGAAGGATCGGATTCCGCTTTATGTGGATCATGTTTAACTGGATTATGGACTTTCTCAGACTTCCTGCAAACAACATAATGTTGAACTATCATTTTTTTAGTACTACTGTATGCTATTGTAGGCATGAGAATGCAGCCACCAACATTTTGTGCGTAACATGTTTGAATTTTAAATGAGCAAGCATAGTATAAGCAAGTACCTATTGACAAGCAACGACTTTATCCTGTAAGGTTTCACCAGCACTTTTGCACCACAAATAAAATGAGGGTTTGTTTTCGACAGGACTAAGGTTACCGTCTCTGGGTAAACAAAAGTCACAAACCCGAACATCCTCTTTTCTTGGTTGGGAAGCCTAACTTCCTGAACTGGTCCAAAATTGCTGAAAATAGTCATAATAATAATAATAAAAAATCCCCTTGAGTTGTTACACAGATAATTAGCTTAAATCTAGTCATATACTATTGCAACAAAAGAAACTTTGGTTTACTTGAAATAATTATAAACATCTTCCTCAGTAAACATGCTGTGTGGAGGAAAAGTCAGATAAACTTGGCACGATACCGACTCGTTTTCTTTCTTCTCTTCCATCCATCTCGCGTACAAGGGGATGTCCTCCACCATTATAATCGACTGCCTCCCATGAGGTCTGTAACCAACAAATGATGAAAAGGAAAAGCACATAAACATACATAGATCATTTCTTTAAAATAACAAAAGCTGGCACCTGTCATCCATAGATCATTTCTTTAAAATAACAAAAGCTGGCACCTGTCATCCACATGAATGCCCTTTGTCATCTGAGCAACAAGCTGCGCAAGGGTAAACCTGACCTTTCCTTGGCCGGGGCCCTCAACGAGATAGCCCTCAACCCGAAGGGCCCGTCCGTACTTATCATAGTAAAATATTGGCAGTGAGGAGATGGAAACCGGAACCCCTTTCCGGGCCTTGAGAAGCCCAATCAGCTCAATCTCTAGCTGCTCGAGAGATTCGAGGACATGATCGTCTCCCGTCCTGGGATGATTCAGCACCATGAAATGACCGTTTTCCATTCGGAAGACGTGCAGAAACCGGCAGCTGCCGCCGTACTTGCAGTACCCCTGACTGAAGCTCTGGCAGATGAGACAATCATGAAAATACGGGGGGCCCACGTCCAAGCTGAAAGATTGCATCCGCTTGTTTCGAGCTAAAGGCTGAGGGGTAGGGACTATCCTTGTGGGTTTGGTGGATGAAAAGTCGAGCTCCCTTTTGGCGGTGTTGATGAGGGAGTGGATTAAGTTGTCCGGGCCAAAGGCTAAACGGATCATCTCCAGCTCTCCCTGCCCCTCGTCTTTGAGGAGGAGATAGCCGATGATCTTGGATACATTCTCAGGATCCAGCTTCTCGATTCTTTTGAAAACTACCTTTGTCGATTCCGAATACTCCATCTTATACATGCCCAAACAGCAGTGTTAGAAACAACAAGATTAATTAATGTCCATCTAAATAATATTATATGCCTTGATTCAGTTACATTAATCTAAGCATCAAAACAGAAATTAATGCAAGATCCTAAAAGAAAAGAAATTAGATCAATATATCTAAATATATTGCAGTCCTGGAAATATTAACATGTACTAATTAGTAGGTTCGCAGAAACTGCCTTTGTTTCACTACTTGAGCACAATTTTGGAGAAAGCGGCCAAATTTAACTCATTTATTTGGAACCTCCTATCTCAAATTCAATCCAAGTCTTCTCTTTAAGACAAGTAAATTCACCTTCTTTCAATTATTGGACATGCATGAGAGTTAATAAAGCCACTGAGGAGTTGGTCTATTACCTAGTTAGCCAGTTTATAACTGCTGCTTGAAATTATATAACTAATTGAAGGTATTAATCATGTCAATTTCGAAGCAATAGCACGAAATTCAGCAACATGCAATGGCTTTTTCTTTTTCTTTTTTTTTTATTATTATTGAAAATACAACAACAAAATTCTCAAAGAGGCAGAGGGAAAAGGGATAGGCGATGATCTAGCACAAAAGTTTTATCTGCATGCAACATTTCCGGGTGAAAGATACACCCTTTCATTCAAGAAAATGGATTCTTGTTTTAAAACACTGTTCAAGAAATGAGCTCATTTGTCCATTCTGCACATGCACGAGCACAAACAAGTTCAGCAAGCTGCAACTAGCAGATATATTCGTGTTTTACACAGAAAGAAAATAAAAACAGAGAACGCCTAACACGAGTGCTAATTTAGAATAAAAAAACAATGTAGAACAGAAGTAAGAAATTAATTTGCATTAATAAGAAAAACCGTGAAATTAATACCCACCAAATCTTGCTGCAGCTGATGAACACTAGAGTTTTAGTGTGGTGTAGGTGTAGAGCAGATAAAAGTTGTCTCTCTTTTGTTGAGAGTGCAATGTAGTTGAAATACATTGTGAGTTACTTTTGGTGGGTACAAAAGTGGGCTCGCTCACTCCTCAAAAAACGACACCATTGCTCACGAAAAAGGAAAGTAAAAGGACACTGAAAATGCTTTGCATTTTTTTGTTCGCATTTCAGTTGTTCTTCTATGCCTACACATGCATACAATGCACCGGCCCGACCATCTCTCCCTCTCCACCTAACTTCCTTTTTTTGCTGAAAATAACCTTTAGTAATCCAAAAATTTGTATGTGGTTTCCATTTCAACTTTTAGAATGACCGATCCCACAAACAGAGTTATCGAATATAAACTTATGATCATATGTTGTGCAAGATTTAAAAGAAGTTGTGTGAACAGTTTTGCAATGTGATATGTTTAATGATGTAATCCAAAAGTATTAAATGTAAACTTGTAACAGATCCAAACATGTTTACAATATTCAAGTGATTCAGATTATTAACTGTAAACACAATAGGCATCCATATGTAAGACAGAATAATCATTCATCCCCCACATACCATAATCAAAGTGGTTCACATTACAAGTGTAGCTAACATCTGTTTCTTTCTATCCATGATGTCTCGAGCGCTATACTAAAGTCGCAAGTCTTGACACAGAGCTCCACCTCTCCATATAATCCTGTCTTTAGCACGCACGCACATACACATGTGGGTCCCAGCAAACGTAAGCAGTTGGTGTAATAAGACACAGATGAGAGGCCTTTTTAGCATGCCCATCATCATCCACATTAAATAAATAAATAAAACTCACCCAACTACCTTCATGAGCTTTTGCATGCACTTCCAGTTCCTCCTCACCCATCATTTGTCTCCATCTCCTTCTGTTTTTTCTTTTAAATTGTTTGGCATTTGTCATGAATTTCTACTCATTCACACATACACACTCACATGCATTTATGTTTGTCGTCATTGTTGTTGACTTGTTTCAACATAAATTAATATCTATACGTACACAAAAATCAATCTTTAATAATATATAGTCAAGGCACTTCTGCTAGATGATGACATTATGATTTATGCAACAAAACAATAAGTTTAGTTATGAGGTGTGTAGTGTGTTAGTGTGATTCACACATGGCCAAGATATGCGGTCTCGACATGCACGCATTTTTTTCAATAGATTTGTGCACTTATAAGTTTAAATTTTTTATAATAAAGGTCTGGCATTTCATAGTGTAGGATGTTGAAAAAATATATGGGGGTGCATACAATGAAAATATGCTAAAATTAGAACTTTTGAGCTATGTGAATCAATCATTATAACCTTACCTTACTTTAGCAGATTAAAATAAGTGCAGGGAGTAATAAATTAATAGCGTAGGGACCAATTTCGCATTTCTACAAAAATGAATAACTGGCGAACTCACGCTTTCTCCTCGCCGGCGTAAATAACCCACCCTCTCATGTCTTCGCTTTCCTTTCCCTCCACCGCCGACGAGCACCCACGCATAGATCCACTCTCTATATTATAACTCAATTTCACCAGTCTTCCAATTCAATTTGTTACGGGGGACAACAATTGAATTAGAAAACATATCGATCCTAAATAATAATAATGTATCAGTGGAGGAAATTCGACTTCTTCGAGGAGAAGAACACCAAAATCCCGGAGGAGGTAGAGGGCAGGATCCGGTGCTGCGGCAGCGGCAGGGGAAGGATTGTGTTGGGTACCGACGACGGCGTCGTATCGCTGCTTGATCGTGGCCTGCAGCTCCAATACTCCTTTCCAGCTCACTCCTCTTCCGTTCTCTTCCTGCAGCAGCTCAAGGTATTCAGAATTCCTCTTTTCTTGTGTATATGGCACCAATTCTTTTCATCGAGGATCTGCTGTCGCGAGCTTAGCAATTTTGGACTGTAGCTCAATTTTGGGGAAAGAATAATGAAGCTACTCTTTTTTCGTTAGCTAACTCTGGATTTGGAAGTACAGTTCTGCAGTGCCTTGCCTAACTTCTTATGTGAAATTTACATCTGATTGTTTGTCGAATTTGGATCATTTGATCTCTCTCTCTCTCTCTCTCTCTCTCTCTCCTCATTATATCATGAACTAGCTATTAGTTTAGATTACATCTACACCAGTGAGGTCCTGAGTTCAAGTTATTGCATTTAGTTTACGTTTCTAGTTTAATGTTTTGCCGTATTAAAAATCTGTTTATGTTCTGTTGAATCAGCAACGGAATTTCTTAGTGACTGTTGGAGAGGATGAGCAAATGCCACCCCAGCAAGCAGCTGTATGCCTAAAGGTATTTGACCTTGATAAAAGGCAAGAAGAGGGGTCTAGTGCATCAAGTCCAGAGTGCATTCAAATTTTGCGGATATTTACCAACCAATTCCCTGAATCAAAGGTACAGATTAACTGTAGTGTTCTAGTTAACATTTCGCTTTCTCTCCGAGAGATGCTAGATTTTTTTAATTCGACATGGGGATATGCTTGTTTTATTTTCAGACTGCTTCTGAAAATAACCTACCCTCACTGGTTGTTCTGTAGATCACGTCTTTTGTTGTTCTTGAGGAAGCTCCACCAATTATATTTATCGCCCTTGGGCTAGACAGTGGCTATATTTATTGCATCCAAGGCGACATTGCACGCGAACGAATAAAGCGCTTCAAGCTGGAGGTCGACAGTGCCCAATCTGGCAAGTCAAATTCTGCTATTACGGGCCTCGGTTTCCGTGTGGATGGATCCGTGTTTCAACTCTTTGCGGTCACTCCAAGTTCAGTGAGCTTGTTTAATTTGCAGAGTCAAACACAGTCTGCCCAAACGCTCGATCATATTGGTTCAGAGACAGCCAGTGTAGCAATGAGTGACCACTTGGTAGGTTACTTTTATCCTTTTGCTTATTCTTTCTCTCTATTTTTGTAACTAATTATTTTAATTAGTAATGATTGGTTTTAATTATCAGGAACTGATTGTTGGTCGGCCTGAAGCTGTCTATTTCTATGAAGTCGATGGCCGAGGTCCTTGTTGGGCCTTTGAGGGTGAGAAAAAGCTCCTCGGTTGGTTTCGTGGCTACCTTTTGTGTGTAATTGCTGATCAAATCACTGGGAAGAACACATTCAACATTTACGATCTGAAAAACCGTCTAATAGCCTACAGCACGGCAGTTCCCGAAGTCTCTCACATGCTGTGCGAGTGGGGCAACATAGTACTCATAATGTCGGACAAGTCTGCGCTTTTTGTAGTGGAGAAGGACATGGAGAGCAAACTGGACTTGCTTTTCAAGAAAAACCTTTACACAGTAGCTATTAACCTCGTGCGGGGCCAGCAAGCCGATGCCGTGGCAACTGCTGAAGTCCTCAGAAAGTATGGTGACCATTTGTACAGTAAGCAGGAATATGATGAGGCGATGGCCCAGTATATACACACCATCGGGCATCTCGAATCTTCGTACGTCATCCAGAAGTTTCTGGATGCACAGAGGATCTACAACCTGACTAATTACTTGGAGAAGCTGCACGAGAAAGGCCTTGCCTCCAAAGACCACACCACTCTCTTGCTTGACTGCTACACCAAGCTGAAAGATGTCAAGAAGCTGGATTATTTCATTAAGAGTGAGGATGGATTAGGCAAGCACAAATTCGATGTTGAGACAGCCATTAGGGTTTGCCGGGCCGCTAACTACCATGAGCATGCCATGTATGTGGCCAAGAAGGCTGGCAGGCATGAGTGGTACCTGAAGATTTTGCTCGAGGACTTGGATATGTATGATGAAGCCCTGGAGTATATAAATAGCCTGGACCCGAGCCAAGCTGGGGTCACTATAGAGGATTATGGCAAGATACTAGTCGGACACAAGCCGAAGGCTACAATTCAGATACTGATGAGGCTTTGTACGGAAGAAGGGGAATCTTCCAGGAGAGGGTCCTCAGATGGGACCTTCTTGTCCATGCTGCCATCACCCGTTGATTTTTTCAATATTTTTGTGCACCACCCGCTGTCTCTTATGGAGTTTCTTGAGATGTACACTGAGAAAGTGAAGGATTCTCCTGCTCAGGTTGAGATCC